TCTTCTAAACTGAGGCCTTCAGGAGCTTACTAGAATTCAGATAATTAACGATAATAGAGGGGGAGCAAATGGCTACTGGTGAAATGGGAAAGCAACTTGTGGGGAGAAGACAGTGACCTGAGGAATGGAGGACCTTATCCCTAGTACTCTTAAGGATTAATATTAGTTGGTAGTTGATGATAGCCATACTACTTTGAGACTTGTCATGGTAAGCGATCAGTATTCCTGAGCTGCTTATTATAATTATTTGTGTTTCAGTAATACTTAGAGGTCCTAACAGAGATTGCAACCTGATTGTGCTAGGCACACTACACACATACATAGTAATATAAAGTCCCAGCCCCAAAGAACTTACAGTCTCAATAGATGAGACAGATAAAGAGCGGGAGTATTACTATTCTACTTTTAGGCTATGTCTACACTATACACTGCTTTTGGTGGCATGCAGGGTATGTGTAGCTACATGCTGCAGTGAAAAGCAAGTTGTGTCCACACTACAGTGTGTAGCTACAAGACTGCCGGAGCCTTTCCCTGCTGATGGAGTCTTTACCTGCAGCAGGGAAGGGCTGTAGCAGTGGGGAGCTGGCAGAGCCTTTTCCTATTGTCTCCCCTCTGCCAGAGTCCTTACCTGTAGAGGGGAAAGCCTCTAGCAGCAAGGGGTTGACTGAGCCTTTTCCCACTGCAGAGCCTTTCTCCACTGCTGCAGTCTTTTCTTGTGGCGGGGAAAAGCTCCAGCAGATAGGAGGCAATCGGTCACAACACAGCTAAAAACAGAAGTGTAAAGCACGGCTTGAGCAAAGAGAGCTGAGTACATACCCACATCCTTTAAGCATGTCTATACTCTACTCACCTAAATGCCTCACTGTCTACACTGCTATTTAAACCCATGCTAGGGGGGCTATTCGAGTACACACGCTACATGCCGCTGAAAGAATCATGCAATGTAGACCATAGCCTTACACATGAGGCACAGAAAAGCTAAGTAACTTGCCCAAGGTCACAGAGGAAGTCTGTAGAAGAACTGAAAATTGAACCCAGTTCAATTGGACCTCTGAGTCTGAGTCCATTTCTTTAACCACCAGGCTAACCTTGTGCTCTATTGCCCGTTGCATTTCCATTTGCATGCATTTTGGTTGACATCTTGGTCATTTTTCTCCAACTTTACCTTTTTGGCCAGGCTGGAGTTTTCCTCTTCTGAGGGACTCAAAATCTTCTGCACATGGAGAAAATGAATAGCGAGCCCTGCATATTATTAAATGCATTTTCAGTGTCGGCCTCACAGTTTGATCACAGTAGCCTCAGAAGGCTCATAAACCCAGTAATACATAGTTTCAAGTCTGCATCAAAGAAGTTCACAACCCCATTGGGAGAAGCGCTGAGTATTGATGAAAGAGGGAACTTATTGTATATGTAAGAAAACTCTTTTCATGGCTTATATATTAAGCCAGGCTCCATGGGTTGGGGTAGATTGGGGCTGCTTTTAATTTACATTCCCCTTTGCTTATATTAAGTCTTCATCAGAAGAAAAATTAGTCAGATGTTTTCTTAATGACATCACTTTTTTTTAAACCCGTTTCATTTTTTCCAGATGAGGCGGTGGAGATTGTTAGAAATGATGTGAAACTAAATCTGGAACAGAGACTTTGATTCACTTCTCTTCCCCACCCCCCTCTCACCCCCCGAAATAAATTGGTAGATTTCATACACAGTTGACTTATTAGCAGCAACCTCGACTGCTACACAAATCTTAGCTCAAGCTTGGCTGAGCCTTGCAGGCGTGCTGCTATTGTAGATGATGTCATGGCTGAAATACAGAGGATGTTAACCAGCCACAGTACACTGTGCTATGTACACAGGCCACGCAGTTTGGAACAAGGCAGTTTTGGAAAGTGACTAAGTCACCTACATAATTTTGGTAACAAAATGACCTAGTAACAGGTTATGAGGTTGAAATCACTATGTGATCATAAGTTTGTCTTTCAGTACTATAAAATATAATGGGCTTGATTTTGCTTTCAATTATTGCACTGTGAATCAAGAGTGATTCCAATAAAACGTGTGTGTGTGTGTGTGTGTTTTGGATACTGATATACCCTTGTAATGACAGTTTTTTGTTGCCTTGTATTTTACACTGGTGAGAGGCAGACGTTATCACTACAGGAGAGTATTTAGAACAATATATATATATTTTAAAAGACATTTTAATGTATTACACATCAGCAAAAAGTGTTCAAACACTTGCAAGATTTACTAAGGGCTGGTCCACACTTACCCCCCAAATCGAAGTAAGGTACGCAAATTCAGCTACGTGAATAACGTAGCTGAATTCGACATACCTTACTTCGACCTTACTGCGGTTCAGACGCGGTCCACACGCGGCAGGCAGCCTCCCCGTCGACTTCGCGGTACTCCTCTCGCTGAGCTGGAGTACCGCAGTCGACGGCGAGCACTTCCTGGTTCGATTTATCGCGTCCAGACCAGACGCGATAAATCGAACTCGGAACTTCGATCCGCAGCCGTCGAACTACCGGGTAAGTGTAGACTAGCCCTTATTTATCAGAAAGACAATGACAAACACCCTCATAAATTGCTGAAAAAGGCTGTAAAGCTTGTGTTACTATTCTGTGTGGCTTTGTGGATATCCAAGTATTATAAATAAATAAAAAGGCACCTGAACTGTTGACATGCATATGACAGTATAGGGTGAAATATGTATCTTGAGGTTCAGGTGGCGTGTTCTAAGCCACTCAGAGAGCTTCACTCTTGTGGCTACATACACATGCAGAGAGACAGATGCGCACGCACACACAATCGTGGGAATACTTAAATATTCTTATGTAGCATCCTGCATAAAATGTGCTACCCTCCAGTGCTTAAACCAATGCCACTGAGTTCAGCCTTTGTTCCAGCCACTCTCTCATCTCCTGTCATTCACCCTCTTAGATTCTTTATGCTGATAATTCTGCATTACTCCACTACTCCTTTGTACCCTTTACCCACCAGCAGCTTCCCTCATGCTGCCAAGTCTCTGATCCCATACCTCATAAAATCGTGCTTCAGAATCATCCTCAAAACCCATCATCGGACATGCTCCATCCCTCCCCCTTCCACGGCAACCCCCATTAGATCTAAATCTAATTTAAAAGGGATCTAACATGATATAGACCCCTCTCTTTCCTCTTTGTCTAGTGTTACTTCGCTCTGTTTCCTGTATGTAGCTAAGACTGTAAACTACTCAGGACAGGGACTACATTTGTTTTCTCTGCATCCAGTGCGACTCGTACCTGTGGCACCATAAATAACACATGCCACCAGTTCCCTCTCCTGGTGCTATAGGCTTTTTTTGGCGGAACTCCCTTTGCAGGTTTATGAAGGGGCTGAACATTAGGGCTGAGTCTAGACTCGCATAATACAGATCCTGTGTTTCTCCCCGAGCGATAGGAAGGATGAAGGCTGTATGGTAGATTGCGCATGCATTATTGTCACTGGGTTATTTAATAAGGATTGGAAGATATGATGGAATAAACACCTGAGACCTCATTACACTATATTTTTCACCTTTGCTACTGCTGGTGGAGCTGCTCCAGGGTTGAAATACAGGTCTGATTTTTTTTTTCTTGGTGTAGACATGTCCAGATACCTAAACCTGCAGCATTTAGTGAGTCCTTTCTCAGGTCAAATTCTCACTTTAATGGAGACTTTGCCTAAGCAGGGACAGAGGGATTTAGCATTAAGGAGGCTAGAACCAGAACACACATGATGAAATCTGACCTTAACATTTGCCCTCCAAAACTTAAAACAAACCTTCCAGTATGGTTTGAAAAAGTTTTGATTGACTTCTGCAAGTGAGGTTATTTAGTCAGAGGGCGGCTAAGGGACTTGCCCCAGGTCACTCAATTCAGTGGCAGGGTGTGGGATAGAATGCAGGAATTCTGGCTTTCCCTTCCTTGCTTTAATCACTTGGCTATCCTCCCTCCCAAACTTCCTTCACTTCTAGACATTGCAAAGGCAGCAGCTGCTAACCCCTGGGAGGTGCAGGTTCCTATCTGAGGCAGTCTCCTAGTAAAATGGGCAGATCAAAGAACTGTAAAAGAGCAAATAGGGATTCAAGGCCTGCTCACAACAGACCAAGAAATACAGCTCATCCTGTGGCTCACCTTCATGACCATAAATGTGGCGAGTGTCTGTAGCTTTTACATCCCTTTCTTGTCTAGCTCCTCTTCCTGAAACTTAGATTCACTACTTCTTTTGGCTTTAGCAGTTTGTTCCAAGCTTTGAGCACAGAAATTCTGCCTGACTTGCTGGCAAGCATATACCTCTCCTGAGCTCCAGCTGACAAAGTCTCTTGTCTCTTTCTCTCTAGTTTTGACAAGTCCATGGTCTCACTATGAGCAGGTTTAGAAGAGAACAAAGGTTCCTTTCCCCTCCCCCTTCCTGCAGGGAAGTGGCGACGGACACTTTATCTTTTCTCTCTAAAGTTCATAGTAGAACTTGTAAAGAATAATTCTACCAGCTTGCACTTGCATAGCACCTGTTCTCCAAAGATCTCAGTGCATGTATCCATGCGAGGTCAGTACTGTAGCAAACTGGTGGCCAACTAGGGCATCACATATGTCACTGTGCTGCATACCATGGACACAGTGAATTTCACAATAATTTATCTCTGAGCCTTTTGCTCCAAGACCAGTTGAGACAGAGGAGATTCTTCAACCACTATTAGCAGCATCAGACATAGACATAGAATAGAGCAATTCTGATTCTCTCCAACAGATGGCAGTGGTACATATATGCACAGTTTATATCTATTTTATAGAAGGGCAAACTGAGGTGCAAACACATTGAAATGACTTGCCTAGGTTCACACAGTGAGTCAGAGCTGGGAATAGAACCCAGGAGTCCTGTTCTCCAACCATGTGCTCTGGCTTAAAGAAAAAATGCACAAAGAGTTGCTAATGAAATTGAAGACCAATTCACGGTATGTTTTTCTGTTTCCTTCACAGGCCTCCTACCCTCAGTGGCAGCCCCGTTATCTCCGACATCTCCCTTATTCGCCTTTCTCCTCACCCAGCAGGACCTGGTGAATCGCCTTTCAACCCCCCTCACCCGTACATGAACCCCCATATGGAACATTACCTCCGCACCGTGCACAGCAGTCCCACTCTCTCCATGATCTCTGCTGCCAGAGGCCTCAGCCCTGCTGATGGTAAGCGCATTGCTGTCCTGACACTGAGTGTGAGGGTTTAAAACTGTAGCTGCACTACAGGCTATCAAGTGGCTGACATGAAATGAGTTGTGCAGTTCTTAGATCGACTGTTGTTGAAATAGGCCTTCTCCCAGCTGGCACCCAGGCTGGCAGTCTCCACAGAGAGGGCGGAAAATGAATGCGCATGGCAACTCTTATGCCTAGAAGTGGTCTCTGGGGGTCAAGGTTGAAGCATGTAGCCAACGGTGCTGGAGGAGTTTGCTCTACTGCTACTTGTGCTGTAGCTATTTTGGAGCTCTGGCACTTTTCACCAGCACTACATTCACTATACCCCAAGGATCTACAGCTGCAAAGGATCTACAGCTGCTCTCTGAAGTGGGGAGCTGTTGTTTTTTCCCTCGTCTGTAACTACACATTTGTTTTGCATCATTGCATTGACAAACCAGAGCGTGAGAAGAGCTGTTACTGTTGGATTCTCTTATAAATATTTTGCTTAAAATTATGTACCCTTTTACTCCAGTCTCTGCTCTTTTGAGCTTCGCTGGCAGTGGGTCCCCACAGGGACCCCGGCAGCCCTGTGACAGAGCCACAGCTGTGCAAAGTGTTTGTTGTGTCTTTGCTTTTTACACAACACTAAGAATATGAGGAAACATCTTGGACACAGTTGGATTCCAAATAACCACATTTACTAACTATATACAAACACACAAGGCCTCACTACGGATATACGCTGCTGCTCAGTTGGGTTCTTGTGGCGTCTGCAATAGAAGACAGCAGGGAGGGCTCACTAGGGGACTAAAAATCTACTTAAAGGGCTACTACCCCGTTCCTATATACTACAGTGTTTCTGCATGATGCTAGCCTTTCTCATGTGATGGGTGCCCTAGTGTAGTGGGGAGAGGCCACCTGACCCCTCCTTCCTCATTATTTCTGCCTCCCCCTGCCCCCCAATGAGTAATCCCCTCAGAATAGTCCTTGCCCAAGTAAAGGGGATGTGAAAACGTGTGCATGGTGCATAGAGTATAGATGCAGGCTGTATTCAGTACAGTTCCTACCTTCCCCATCTCAGTGAGCTGAGACATCACACAGGCTTACGGAGTGATTGATAATGTTAAACGCTGTATATTTGAGGTAGGAGAGGGGAGGAAATGAAAAATGGGAGGCGCTTCAGTAAAGAATTTCAGAAAACATTGAAATACCCTTTTGAAAGCATAGATAGATATGGAGCCCAATATGTAACGCTGGAGCTGCAGCAATGTATGGCAGTAGAGAATTTGGCCACTATATCTATATATCATTCAGTCAGTGTCTCATTTGAGTTGCATAGGAGTACATCAGGAGTATCTCCATAAGAAATCAATATAAAAAGTGTGTATGTGAAATCAAAATTGTACCTTGTACATATCTACATAGAGAGGAAGGATGGTCCAGTGTTTAGGGTGATAGTCTGGGACTCAGGACTTCTGGGTTCAGTTTCCTGCTCCAATGCAGACTTTCTGTGACCTTGGGGAAGTCACTTAGTCTTTCAGTGCTTGAGTTCCCTGTATGTAAAATGAGAAGAATAGCACTTTCCTACCTCACATCAGGGTGGTGAGGATATATCTATCAAAAGACTGGGAAGTGTTTAGATGCTGCGGTAACTGAGGGCCACGTAAATAGCTTGGATAGATACAGGCACATGCATACCTAAAATGTGGCTCTTCTGTTCCTGTTAATTAGGTTTTGCTCACCCGAGCAAGTGTTAAGATTCCAAACCTCCGCTCTCAGCATACAGCAGAGAGGTTTTATTGCTCATGTATTTTTTTTTTCCACCGCCTTGCAAAGTGAGTTTCATTATTTGGCATTTTAAAAGGGGCATTGTGTTGGGGGTTTTTTAGGCCATGGTAAATAAGTTAATGGAGAGCTGGTGGGGAGGCAGGTTTGAAAAATTACAGCAGGAAGAAAGTGAGTGTAATTGGCTTTGGCAGCCAAAATGGTTTTACACTGCCAGACACTAAACCTAGCTCTCCGCATTAGATCTCGGCTTTAATTTCCTTGCGCTGTGGTTGTTAACTGGACTCTACTTGTCTTTTTCCTTGCTAATAGGCACCAAAATTGATGCTGACAGCGTTTTTGCTGTGGGCTGGTCAGGCCTTCCAGACCCCTCCCTGCAGTGGATTCTGTTTTCATGTGGAAGGATTATTAGAAGGGGGAATGAGAGATTGTTTATAAATTTGCGGAAATGGAAGAATGCAGAGGCCCCTTTTCTCCACAGAAACACACCCAAAAGCACGTCACTAAAGCACCAAACTGAGTCGTAACAAGAGGGCTTGGGGGTTCTGAGGCAGACTGTAATGTCAGCTCTGGAGTTTTACTTACTGTGAGAACATTTTCCCCATGTTTGTCTCCTCACTCTCTGCCTCTACAGTGGCTCATGAGCATCTAAAAGAGAGAGGCCTCTTTGGTTTGCCGCCTCCCCCTCCAGGAGCCAACCCTGCCGACTACTATCACCAGATGACGCTCATGGCCAGCCATCCGAATCCTTACGGGGACCTCCTGATGCAGAGTGGGGGAGCAGCTAGCACGGCGCATCTTCATGATTACCTCAGCCCTGTAGATGGTGAGTAGGGAATGTGCCTACCCCTCGCTTGGGGGCAGCTCACAGAGGGTTCCTCTGGGGGAAGTTTACTGGAGCCTAGAGAATTGTTCTCCATGTGGATGAAAGCAGATGTTATTGTGTGTGGTTTCTCTGTGTTGTTAAAGAACATCAAGGCTGCACTATAATTACTGATTTAAAAAGCTGAGTTAAAAAAGTTTATCCATATATAAAAAACAATCATGACCATTTGGAGAGGCACCTTGGCTGCTAAATACATGGGAGTCAACATGGTGTATAGTGCACTGGCATGGGCTCTATCCCTGCTCTGCCAGTGACCTGCAGTGTGATGTCAGACAAGCCACTTCACCTCTTTGTGCCTCTGTTTCCTTTCCCACCTTGTCTGTCTTTTTTGTTTAGACTGTAAACTTTTGGGGGCACAGGCTGCCTTTCATTATGTGTTACACAGCGCCGAGTGCAAGGGGACTTTAATCTTGGTTGGAGCCTTTAGGACCTATGGTAATGTAAAGTCCCAGACAAAAACTATGTTAAAATGGAATTAAGGTTGAAAGTACATGGTAAAAATCATTACAGGGGGGTTGTAACTGTCCCCAAATCAGACGTTCTAAACCCAGAAAATTCAGAGTTAAGGTTACACTGAAAAGAAATAAAATCATGTTAAGGCATGAAAATGTAGTGTGAGCACCCACGGCTCTGCCCTATAGCAAATCCGTCCATGTTATAACCTCACAATTATAGTTCATGCTGTAGTTTCAGATTAGATTACACTGATTTTTAAAGATGTAAGATTTTTTCCCCTCATGGTGTCTCACTCCATGAAAGACAATGGGGGGGCTGCACAGGCAGCACTGAGGGCATGATGTGGCCTGTGGAATGTTTGTTAGAGGTGCTGATGCACAAGGAGAGAACCCAGCATGACTCTCTGATCCCATGCTTCTGATTGGCTCATGGATTAGTTCAGGCATTGAAACTGAGGGTCTGTCTCGATCCATTACTGCTTTAGAGATTCTACTTTTGACCTTTCAGACTTAAAGACTTTGAGGTTTCATTGCTTTATAACTGACTTCTTTTTGCACTGAGGCTGCAGTGATAAAAGCTAATCTAAATTTCTAAATAAAAACAATCTGTAAATAAAAACTTTGCAGCTGTTTTCTGCCATCAACAATTAGATTCACCAAGGACCAGGATTCTAAGGGTATGTCTACATTGCAATCATCGGGTGTGACATACCCAAGCTAGCTTTAATCTGGCTATCTTGAGGACCAATAGCAGTGAAGCTGCAGCATCACAGGCATCAGATGGGCCAGCCACCCAAGTATTTACCCATAGTTCTGGGTGGGCTTGTACAGCCTATGCTGAAGCCCATGATGTCACGGCTTCACTCTCCAGTAGCCAAGCCTAATGTACTTACTCAAGTAGATTAAAGCTAGCTCAGGTATGAGTATGCGAGCTGAAATCACAGCCCGTGATTACAGTGTAGCTATACCCTATATGTAAAATCCTGATCTTTTCTCTCCATACTGTTCTGCCCTTCCCCACAACCACAGCCCTTAGGCCCAAAACTTAAGACAGGGTGTTTTGTTAAAAAGAAAAACAGGTGGTCAGTAATAATTTCCTCATGGTCTTGCCTGTTAAGGGTTAACCTCTGTGGGTGCAAGGGGGCACCTCTGAGGCCTGGTCTATACTGGGGGGGGGAGGACGGATTGACCTAAGATATGCAACTTCAGCTATGAGAATAGCGTAGCTGAAGTCGACTTATCTTAGGTCGACATACCTCGCGTCCTCACGGCACGGGGTCGACTGCCGCCGCTCCCCCGACAACTCCGCTTCCGCCTCTCGCCGCGGTGGAGTACAGGAGTCGACGGCAGAGCGATCGGGGATCAATTTATCGTGTCTAAACTAGACGTGATAAATCGATCCCCGATAGATCAATCACTACCCGCCGATCCAGCAGGTAGTGTAGTCGTACCCTCGGTTTTCCTCTGCAGGTCTTCTTAGGCTTCAAGGTCTGCATTTATTCCCTGCCCCCCCCCCCATCCTCATCATTAGTGCATTTCTTGAATTGTGTTTTGTTTCAGCGACTTGCAGCAGCTCACTGAAGTGCCAGATAAATAGCTGGCTAGATAAACAAATATGGCTTTTGTAATATTAACACGTATTACTGACACTCAGTGCACCATGGTCCTCGTCCTGTAGGATACTTAGTGTCCGTCTTTTATCTGAAAGTCATCTGGGATTTTCTGTTCTTCAGAAGGGTCTCTTCCTACCTGGCTTTTCCGAGGTAGCTCTGGAATAAATCATTTAACAAGGTCCCTAATTAAATGCAGCCACGTGTATGTCAGTATCGCACAGGAAGGTTGAGTTTTGCCAAGCTCTAAAGACTGTGATCAGCATTATTTTGATCCTTTAAAAAAGCTTTCTTGATCAGTGACTGGAAAGCCCATCTGTAAACTTTTGGATTCCATTAATGGAAACAAAGCTATTAAGCCATAGTGGAAATAAATGAAGACGTGAAGTGAAATTCCACAAGGCCATTTTAAAGAAGAGCATGTCAAAACCAGCAGGCCCCCCAAAAATCTGTGCTCCACATGTGGAATTTTATTCATTAGTCTGGGATTTATTCTCTGATCATGTTCAGACAGTCTGATTTATCTTTCCTCCCTCCCTCCCTCCCCAGCAAAGCCACTAGCAGTGAGATCGGGTCTGGTTGTAAACTACAGCCCTCATTCAACAAAGGACTTCAGAACTTGCCCAAAGTCAATGGGACTTAAAAACATGCTTAAAATTAAGCCTTTGCTAAACAGGGATGGACTTAACCACATGCTTAATGTTTTACTAAATTGGGACCTACGCCCTATAAAAAGCGTTTGGCAATGGCTATATTACATAGTTTGCGTTCTGCTGGCTGTAGCCTGTCTGATAACAGAGGCTTCGTTTCAGAGTTACACGTGATGAGGGAACTGCTAGTCACTAAAACCTGGAGTGAAGTGGCTTGTTCTGAAACCATGATTTGAGAAGCTGAACCCACCACTCCGTTTTTTGTTTAACAGATTATTCCAATCATTTATTTTAAATAAGTGACCATATAAGTACCTAGGCGGATAGTTTAGTAATAAAACAGGATGTTCTTCTGATGCGGGAATATCAATAGCACACATTAAATGCAAACATGTCATTGGAATAAAATGTTACATTCACAGAGCGCCTTTCCTTCCAAAAGATCCCCAGATTGCCTTAAAAACTTTACAAGAATCACTTCACCCTCCCCTGAAGTGCAGCCAACTCTAGGGTGGAGCATAACAGCTGTTAAACACCACATGGCACAATAGGCTACAATAACACAAAGCTGCTGTGTTAAACGGGGGGAGTTTGGAAATGTACATTTGAAGCAGAAAACCTCTCCTGCCCTGGATACAGCAGCACACAGAGCAGGTACTCTGCTGGTGAGAGGAAATCTGAACATTTGCAGGCTCATTTGGAAGTGAGACAGCTGCCCGTGGTAGTTCTTTCATGCACTCTTGTCTGGGGCTTTAGTTAAATCTTGGGGGTGATTTCTAGATAACTAAGGGCTTGTCTACACTGGCATTTTTCATCACCCCAATGTCGCTGTACTGAGGTGCAGCAAGAGTGTAGTCATCCTGCACTTGTGTGAACCTGCACTTTCACTGGTGCAGCTTCCCCCAGTTTCAAACCTTTGGTCACCCAGAAGGCCAGTGGCAGAGCTGGGAATAGAACCCAGGTCTGCTGAATAAACAATGTAATAGTCATGGCTGGATGCAGAGCTTTTCTTTAATGTCATTGCTTTTAATTACACCCTACATAAAAATGCGATTTGACTGTGAGACTCTAAGAAAAGCCGACAACCCTTTTCTCCTGCCCAGAAAAAAATGTGCAAAACAGAGCAAGCCCAACGGCATCCCATATGTGCTTTATCTGGAATCCTCCTGAATTGTGGTTTCTAATGAATCCAATTTATATATGGAGGTTAGACCTTCTAAACAGTTACCTTGTGCACTGGAAATAGAAGAATGTAGCCTTTCAACAAGGATCGTAGGGAAGCATTAGAATTCCTTGAACTGTTAAGCCGTATAGGGCCCCAGGGAATGAAAAAGTAAGGGTCCCAGGATAGCACCTGGTAAATGAACAAATGTCCAGCATCTGCTGCAGTCAAAGGAAGATGTGTGATGCTGTAACAGAAGGAAAGAAGGGAATAAGGAACCGGTTATCATGAGACTGGTTTTGGCTGGCTGCTGCTTATTGATAAGGGGATTGTCTTATGTCAAGCACAAACACCTTTTTATGATGTTGTTACTGCCTCTGGATTTAATTTGATAACCTGAGGGGATACTTCTGTGCCCTGTGAATAGAATTTTCTTTCCCTTTTTTTATTTTTATTTTATTTTATTTTATTTTTTGCAATCAGCTCATTAGAGTGCTGGCTTCAATAAGACTATATTGTTTTAGATTTTGGATGAAGAAACACAGAAGAAGCACCAGTTGCGTCTGTGATTTGGAAGGGAGGGAGTGTAAAATGTCTGTATATCATGTACATTATGTGGCTGCCTCTGGATAAATTTATTCTTCAAGTTCTTTGTCCACCACTTAGATTGCAGCACAAAGTTATCTTTAAAGATGCAGTCTGAAGTTCTGGTACATGCAGTCAGTCACAGTGCTTGGAGGAGTTCATTTCTAGGGTCAGTTCAGGAAGACAGTTAGATATTCCCAGGCACATTAATACATAAAGGACTTCACAACTGATCACCATGTATCTACGTTAAGCTGGGATGTGTTGTTCCCATTTCCAACACTGCAAAGAGGACTTAAATCCTTCTTTATGCAAATTCCTTCCTGTCCTGTCCGTATAATATCCCCAAACACTGTGTGTGTGTGTGTGTGTGTGCGCGCGCGCGCGTGTGTGTGTGTGTGTGAAAGAGAAATTGTCAGAGTTATGAGATTGAAGCTTAAACTGAGACTGAACCTAAAACTTCTCTCTGACATTTCTT